CATACCGGACGGGGTATTGAAGTTTATTATTTGGCGCCCATACCGGATGGGGTATGGGGACGGCCCTGGAAATTAAGTTTGTTAAGGGAATGGTTCACGGGTAGCGGGGACCCCTATGGATCCCCACGGATACTAGTAGGCTGATAAAAAGGAGCAACTGTTGTTTGATGATTGAAATATAAAAGTATGACATGTACTATGTTACAGATTATGTATGAACTTATGATATCTATGATGTTATTATTTTCATGGGTCGTTTTTATAAATTTCACCGAGGTAAGTAGACGGTAAATAGTTTGATTATTGATAAATAAATTCACTTGAAACTTGGTTGTTTTTGGTTTTCTACCAACCTTTACTTTTGTGATAGTGATATAGTGTGATGTCTTTACTGGGGTAGTATAGCTCATTCCTTACTTAACCATTCCAGATCAAGAGGACTTGGTTCCCGAGCCCAATCTATAAGAAGACGGCGAGTAGATACCTAGATGTCCATTAGTTTCTTTTATAGTCTTTCATTTTCAGTATTTTCCTTTAGAGGACTTATTTTCGGTATTGTTAGTACGTTTAAGTTATTGTGTAAGGGATATTAACCAGAACCTTTTATTTCGCTTTTGCACTTATATTCTTTATATGCATTTCCTTTTTAAATTTATGGGATCGTTACAGTTGGTATCAGAGCTGCGTTCCTCGGACTCATCCCTTACACAATGATACTTAGATAAACACCAAACTAATGAATCATTACTAAACCTTTCCTTGTGAAATGCAGGTGCAGAGAAATGAGAAGAGGAAGACCCCCACTAAACCGAGCAGTTCGGGATGGTTCGCTTCGGGAGGACGTTAACAGAATATTTGAGATGCTGGAGAGGCTCATTGCTGCCCAGCAGGGTCGAGAGGGGAGAATGGAACTACCCGACCATCCCCCGCTGCCACAAGTTGAGCCACCACTGCAGCAAGAAAATCCCGAGCCACCCCGGTACGAGCCTGCTCCTCCACAATACCACCCGGTGCCACCACCGCAGTATAATCCGGTGCTCCAGCCACAGTATTGCCCGACACCACCACAGTATAATCTGGTGCCCCCACCATACCAGCAAGTACCAGCACAGGGTCCCCCAGTTTATCCTTAGTCTGTCCCAGTTCCTCTTCCACGGGACTTAGCTCCTTCCATGATAGACCTAAGCTATGTAGAGAGGTACATGAGACTGAACCCATCCATTTTTGTAGGGGAATCCTCTTTTGAAGATGCCTAGTACTGGTTGGCGGAGATGGAGAAAGCTTTCAGGACCTTAAGAGTGGCTCCCGAATAGAGGGTCACTCTTGCTACCTACATGCTAGTGGGAAAAGCAGACCGCTGGTGGGAACTCAAGCAGACCACCATGCCTGTTCTAATCACTTGGGAACAGTTCTTAGCAGCCTTCAATTCAGAATACCTTCCAGAGCACATCCGACACCTGAAGGAGATAGAGTTTGTCCAGTTGGTCCAGGGGAACATGACGGTGTCAGAATATGCCCGTAAGTTCTTAGAGTTGGGCCGATACTCCCCTGAGACGTTGATGGACGAGGGCAGGAAGGTTAGGAGGTTCCAGTGGGGCCTCCGCCCAGAGATTAAGCAACATTTATTTGTACTGGAGCTCAAGACATACTCAGCTGTCCTAGCCAAGATACAGTTAGTTGAGAGGAGCCTCCACACCCTCCCTCGGCCAGTAGGGAACCACCGACCCTCAGCTCCACTCCGCAGACCAGCACCTACTGCGTATGTCCAACCGAACAAAAGGCCCAGACCAGTGATCCAAGCTCCTCCTCAGGCTCCAATGGCAGGACGTGGTAAGATCTGTCAGTATTACGGCAGAGATCACGGGGACCGACCATGTTACCACCTCAACAACACTTGTCGCATATGTGGTAGTGCCCAACACTATGCGAAAGAGTGCTTAAGGAACCAGAATCAGGGAAGACGTCCTATCCAGGGCAGGGTTTATAACCTCACCCAGCAGGATGCCGATGCTGACCCGGACGTAGTACATGGTATGTACATTATCTGTAACCATTTTGCTCATGTTTTATTTGACACTAGTGCATCGCATTCATTTATTTCACCTATTTTTGCATCCAAATTTAATGTATTACTTGATAAACTTGATTCGATGTTAATTGTATCTACTGTTGGGAGTGCAACATTGTTAGGAGAAGTTGTCTACAAGGCTTGTGCCGTAAAGATAGCAAATAGGAAACTGAGTGTAGACCTGATAGAATTAGACATAGGGAATTTTGATGTAATTTTAGGGATGAATTGGCTAGCGGCATATCATGCCACCATAGATTATTTTAGCAAAAATGTTGTATTCAATCCTCCTAATGGGGAGCCATTTACAAATGAATAAAATCATTTAGTACTTATTACTTGATGACAAATTTTTTTACTTATCAAGTGTCTTAACCTTGCTATTTTCTCTAACTAGGCAAACCCAAGAAAAAGAATTGTATTCAAGAGATTCCGGTAGTCCGAGACTTTCTAGATGTATTTTCGGATGAGCTACGCAGACTACCAGTAGACAGAGAAGTCGAGTTCACCATAGACCTACAGCCTGACACCCAACCTATTTCGGTTGCTCCTTACCACATGAGCCGCATTGAGATGGAGGAGCTGAGGAAATAGATCACTAAATTGCAATACAGTGGTTTTATCAGACACAGTGTGTCCCCTTGGGGT